AATGAACAACTGAATCACATGTACATTTACTTGTAGATCAGTAACTTTAATGTCTTATGATAATTATTACAGTGCAATGTACTTTGCAAAGAAAAGAATAATAAAAATAAAATAAAACACCAATCATGACTAAAAATGTTTCATTCCGTGAATGGGCAAATTAAAAAAAAAAGGTTTGGATTTTTTCCTCAAGAAAAGGAACCTTCACAATTCTGAGTGCTATATATTATTGATTTTTCGGCATGAAGGTTAGATTCATCACAAGGTAAATCTGACTGAAGGTTGTTTAGAAATGAACTGATGTGGAAGGAGTTTGAGGACGATCTTGGAGTTGACTGAACATGTTGTTGTTGGTCATAACGAGGCTGTGTTGTGTCCCAGTTGATTGGTTGAAAACCGCCACAACTTTGTCGCTGTTCTACACTTGCTCTTTGCTGTTGCTGAGATGATGACAAATTTGTCAGATTAGAGGCTTGTGCTCTTTCTTTTCGTATTCTGTTGAATAATTCCAAAGGAGACTGTCGAAAAACTGTCGAAGATATTGTTCCCACAAGTCGTCATGGATATAAGGAAGCATGGTGCCCATCCAATTTGCCCAAGCTGTGCGGGTATTATCTGCTGACTTGACAAGCTCGTCAATTCTGTTCTGCAGTGTCTTTGACTCCGTAACCCTCTCATTAAGCTGAGCTAACATGTCCGAATCTCTGATGTTTGTTTTCTTTTTTGCAGTACGTGCCTTCATGCTTGGAAAGTTTGTAGAGCTTGGGTCTTAAGTGACAGTGGAAAAGTTACACGGTTGATTTCCTTGATCGTCTTCCTCATTTTCGATTTCCTCTTCACTATCGACCGTCTGAGGTGTGTCAGGTCTATCTGAGCTGTCAAGGCCCAATTTTGTCCGGAGCTACAGCAATAAAATAATTTATCAAAAATAAATAGAAGGAAAAAAATATAGTTGTCTGCATTTATAAGTAGTGTAATATATGATACTTACACTTACGGCTTGTCTACTGAATACACGAACTTTATGGCCGGATAGGAAAGAAAATGACTCTTTGACCCGTTTGTCTCTCTCAGTAAGTTCCTTACGGCCGTCACCTGATTTCGTTTGAGACAATGTTCCATACATTGTGCGCATACTTTTATACCAGATTTGTAAATCTTCCACTAAAAAGAAAACATGCAAAATTGTTATGTAAATTAACAAAACAATTGTGTCAAGAGTAACAATTTTCTCAAAATGCAGCATTTAATATAAAATTCATGCCTGAAACATCCATTTCTTGAGCCCTCTCCTGCCAAAGGCGCTGCTTTTTCTGTGTATCTTTATATTCTTTTGAGCCGTTATTGTAAAATATAGGGTGGTTCTTAAGCCATTCAACAAATTATGCCTCTTGTTCCTCACTAAAATTAAGGTTCTGTCGCCGCTTTTTATGTAACGGCTCTGATTCTTGTGGAGGTGGTTCTTCTGTAACTGTTCTTCAATTTTAGGACTACAAGTCTTTTCAGTTTCTTTTTGAGTTTTCTTCCCCTTTTGTCTTGGCGGCATTTTGATTTTTGACAGGAAAATCAACAGATATCTTCTTTTATGGTCAACGCGTATTCGTACAATCGTACTATTTCGTAGTTCACTCGCACGGTACTTGTATTGCACTCGCCGTCAATCGCCTGTGTTCGTATCATAGTCGCATGAAATCGTACGACATTCCTTTTGAGTCGAGAAACACTCGCAAAAACTCGTGGGACAATCGCAATAAATCGTAGGAAACTCTCAGAGTCGGAAGTTCTACGATTTTAGCGAGTGTCCCACGAATGTTGAAGATTTACAACGGTTATGTGTACGAGTGTATTGCGATTACTGTACGATCGCTTACGGATAATTAAAAATCGTATCTGGCCACGATTGTTTTGAACATGGAACATGGAACACTACGACTATCTCTACGATGAACTCCGAATTACCGCGAGTTTTTAACTCGTACTCTGTCGTAGCCAAAAATCGTGACAGTTTGACACGGGCTTAAGGGAAGTTGACGATAGAATGTCATCACGTTTATCAAAGATCTGGGTTTTTATATAATCAATAAGGGTCTTTCTCAAATAAAATACCCATACATGTGTATATGAAACAGATATGGCAAACTCTGTGATATCTTTTATCTTAAGCTCACCAGGATATAAAAACTTCGATATGAAAAGGGTGTTGCTAAAACGCGGAACGGAAAACGGAACGGGAAGCGGAACGGAACGGAAAACGGAAAATATTATTTTCGATTAGATGATTTAAAATGCATAAATTTTCTCAGAAACGATGTACTTTATACATATTTAATCACTCCTTAATAAATACCAGTTGATTTAGTCATGTTAAGTCTCTTACGAAATCCGCTGAAATAGTAGTGACGTAGCATCCCTTTTGAAAGGGGGGGGGAGGAGAAAAAAGTCGAACTTGACAAGCGAAAAAAAAAGACAACTGAGGATAAATTCCGACTCCAATTTCTTTCAGTACTATTTTTTTTACACCAACTTACTACATTAATATTTACAGACAGAAAGTGTTGGGAGTTTCAATGAACATTTCGTTTTTGTTTTTGTTATTTTTTGGTAAACAGTTGAAGGGGGGATATTTGGTATCTAAATGAATAATGGTAATTGGTAAGAAAAATAAAAAGTAGGAAAAAAATCTTAAGATTACTGTTAGCGCACCCCTTTCCGGCAAGCTCGGATAAACACTTCGATTGTAAAACTGGTTCTTAAATTTTATACAAAATAGAATCGCTTCCTGTCAACTAAATTCTTGGAGAGATCGAGTTGTAAATCTTAACTGTAGTAAAATTACTGTATCATCTTTACATTCAGTGAAGATAAAGTGTGATTTTTTGGAAGGGGGGGCGTAAAACATTTAGAGTTTGTTTTTCCTCTCAGGTATGAAAAGTTGCGATAAAAGGGAAATTCCTTTGCAAGAAAATTTCTTATATTTCAGCAATAAATTCAATTTGCATATCATGCCACTCATGGATTTATAGGGGACTAGGACCCCTCTCCTTTTTGTGACCAAAATATAAGATTCAATAAATAAATCAATTTTTTGTGTGACTGAGGGTACCTTCGACGACCTTAGCTGCCCTCCTTTTCAAGATTCCTGGATTCGCCAATGCATGCATAATCTGAACGTCATAACTAGTTCTTTTTTCTTTACTGATACACGTATGTTTGTATACTTACTACTAGTCTTTTTCCTTCGACCTATTTCAGAACAAGATTTTTTGTTTTTTAAGCATACTTAAAAAATAATTTGAACGCAACGTTTGACAGATTGATACTCAGGATTTGAGTCTTGTTATTTGAGTCTTGTTAGTACATCTATTACAATATGTATTTCATTGACCATCGCATGTACATGTGCAAGTTTTGAGGAACGCATGATTCATGTATATATCATATTTTACGATAATTTTTCATTATATATGATGCCTTTTATATCATGAATAATGCTTATGTTAATGATTTAACATACAACGAAAAAACCAAATCCAAACGGATTTTAGATTGAATATGTCAACGGAGAAAAAATAAAATTTAATTCTATTATAGATCCATTTTTTCTTTCAAATATTAGTAAAGTCTGATTTATAATTTAATAAAGCAAATATACCTGTCCTCTATTCCAATAGGTGTTCATTAATCATTGTACAGTAATTATATGTTTACATAGTTAATTATTTATTTACACACAAATTCCACCTATTCCCATATAAAATCTTACCTTTTTCTATCCGATTTTCAAAAAGTGAGAATAGGTAAAATGAACCTATACATACTTCTACTAAACACAAAAAAGGAAAAAAATGTCTTGTTTAGCTAGAAAACATGTGCTACAGATATGTAGACATAATCAGAGTATACGGACAGCTCTAGATGATCTACAGACCCTAGTTCACTATGATCAGGGACAGATTATAGATTTACGAATTAGAGACATATCATGGCAGACAACAGGTGACAGGAACATCCAGGCTGCTCTATACTCATACCAACAATCTCTCAGACTAAGACCACTCAATATAATATTTAATATGATACAAACTGCTTAGGTGACGATTATTTGATTCTGAAGAGTGTGGCAGTGTATCTATTTGAGGATCTGAGGAGTGTTTCAATTTTTTTATTTGTTTGGTTTTTTTTTTTTTTTTTTTTTTTTTTTTTGCTGTCAGACTTTTTTTCAGTGAAGATTCTTTTCTTGATCTTATTGTTGGAAATAAATAATCTGTCCTCCACCGACATAAAAATAAATAGTCTGACTCGGAAAAAAATTCCAGCTCCCCCCCCCCCCCCAATCAACTACTAGTAGGTCGTCCCCTAAAGAAATGAGAAAAAGTAAACTCCTTTTCTAAAGTGAAAGATGTATTTTTTGGGATCTTCCTTACAAATGTATTACTCTTCCTATTAACTTAACAGGGCCCCATGTTTCCTAGAGGGGTCCCATATCTCTTTAAGTATAAAAATTAACTTTACATGAAATTCTATTCTCTAATTTTACAGATCTCAGAAAACACAAAACGTATTTATTAATGTTACACAAACACGTGTTTGTGTTTGTTTATTCTTGTCATCTATTGGCTGTTAGAATGGTCACCTAGTCAGGTGACATTAATATTCATAGCACGGGCTATTACTGACCGTGAAAGAAATTCTGTATAGGGAAAGCCATTCGAAGGCTCTATTTCGTGCAGTCTACACGTTTTCGTCATTCATCATATTCTGTCATGGGCGATTCTGGAGACGAAATTTTGCTAGAGACTAATGATAATAAGAAAGTTACAAAGGAAACTACTGGTAGTAATCCTCCGTTGGATATTTCGGACGTGGTGAAGCTTGTTACAGGAGTTTTGCAGTCACAATTTCAAAACCTTTCAGGTCAGCTTAAAGCAGAACAGTCGGAGTCCATTGCTAAGAAACTTAAAGAAAACGCTACTCTTAAGATTAAATCTGAAGGGAATCGCGCTCAGTACGATTTTAATGCTGAAATTCTTGAGGGTCTAGAAAAACTAGAGATAAGAGCTTTCGAAAATAAAGACAGTGAATCAGTGTCAATAATAGGCGAATTGCGGAAAAAACTGAAAACGCGCCAGAAATATATTCGTATTGCCGATTCATCTCCTGCAGGGTGGAAGACAGTAAACGAGTATCAGTCCAGAGAAATTGCCGACAACTCTGACGATGAGAAGAAAATTAGAAGCGCTGAAAACCGAGCCCTTAGGCAGCAAAGGCAAACCCAGAACAAGCGTTTCCACCCGTATGGCTCCTACAGAGCTTCTACAGCGTCAGCAGCGGCAGGCTCGGCAGCCCAGCTTACTTCTGGTTCTTCCTCTACTGCTACATCTCAGACATATACATATCAGCAGCAGCCCTTTCGTGGCAAACTCACAAGGCGTCAACCACAGCCCAGCGACGTATGCTTCAACTGTTTTTCCACTGGTCACTGGAAAACCAACTGCCCCAAAAACAAGTCACAAAGTCAATGATAAGTATACAGGTTATACAAGCTATTCTACTCTTGCTGGCCAGGTGAAATGCCTTCAGAAAAATAATTCAAAACAAATGTCATTGATAAAGTACAATTTGAAAAGAAATGTTAGTAAATGGAGAGAAATTGGCACAAATCCTTTTATTTTGAAAGTTATTGAATCTGGATATGAAATTCCTTTCGTTTCAAATCCTCCTTCTATGTGTTTTCAAAATAACAAGTCTGCTATTAACAATTTTGAATTTGTTACTTCAGAAATTTCAGATTTGATGGAAAACAAACGTATTTTAGAAGTTCCTTTTCAGCCATTTGTGTGTAGTCCACTGAGTGTCACCGAAAACAAAAATAAAAAGAGATTGATCCTTGATCTAAGTAGGCTAAATAAATATGTCAAGTATGATGAAATAAAATTTGAAGACTGGAAGACGGCATTAGATTATTTTGAAAAGGGTTTTTACTGTATTAAATTTGATCTGAAATCAGGATATCATCACATAGATATAGCTGAGAATTATCAAACTTATTTAGGATTCCAGTGGGAAAACAAGTATTACTGCTATACGGTTCTCCCTTTTGGTCTATCGTCAGCTCCATTCATTTTTACTAAATGCTTAAGACCCATCGTAAAATACTTGTGAAAAAATGGCATTATGATTGTATTATATTTAGATGATGGTTTGGCGTTCGCTTCTACTGAGGACCAATGTCTTTTAGATTCTCAATTTATTCAGAAAACGTTGTCAGGAGTTGGTCTGGTGGTTAATGTTGAGAAATCACATTTTATACCAACACAAGTCATTGAATGGTTAGGTTTAACACGGAATTCAAATCTATTCTCTATTTCAGTTCCGGACAGACGAATCGATGATGCTATCTGTTGTCTACAGAAAACTATCATTCATTTTCCCGATGTAACAGCGAGGGAACTTGCAAGAGTAGTGGGGAAGATCATTTCTATGACTCCAGTAATGGGTAACATTTGCAATATTATGACGAGGTTTTCTTCTATGGAAATTGCTATGAAAGAATCAAGGGGTTCTAAGCTATTTTTCAAGCATAAAGATCAAGTGTTTGAAGAACTAAAACTTTGGGTAGAATGTATGCGTTGTGACAGTACAAGATTTTTACATTCTGTTAAAAGAAAAAACGTAATCATTTATTCAGATGCAAGTAATTCAGCATCTAGTGCATATACTGTTGAAGTTAATTCTAAGGTGTTCCATTTGATGTGGAAAGAACATGAGAAAACTATGAGTTCTACATGGAGAGAGTTGAAGGCCATAGAATTGGCGCTGGCTTCTTTTAAGAAAGAACTACAAAATATGACAGTAAAGTGGTTTACAGATAATCAAAGTTGTGCTAAAATAGTACACTCTGGTAGCATGAAGCATCACTTACAAGTTTTAGCATATAATATTTTCAAAATGTGTGCCGAAAACAAAATTTCCCTCGATGTTCAATGGGTTCCGAGATCAGAAAATGAAAAGGCAGATTTTTTCAGTAAAATTACTGATCACGATGATTGGGAAGTTACTAATGAATTTTTTGAATTTATTAGTTCTATGTTTGGTCCTTTCTCTGTAGATAGATTCGCAAACTTTAACAATCGTAAACTTGTTAGATACAACTCAAAATTTTGGAATCCTGAATCAGAGGCTGTAGATTGTTTTACAAAGAATTGGGTGGGCGAAAACAACTGGCTAGTTCCTCCCATTCATTTGATAGTTTCTACTATAAAACATCTATTAGATTGCAAAGCATATGGTATTTTGATTGTACCTAACTGGCCCTCAGCTGTTTTTTGGCCAATGTTATTCGATTTAGAACTGTCTTATAAGGCGTATGTGAAAGATGTGTTACTGTTTAAAGATACAAGTGAGATAATCAGTCAAGGTCAGAACAAGAACTGTCTATTTGGTTCTATATATTTTGGCTCTGGAATACTTGTGGTACGTTTAGACGCTACAAATTTGTAGTTTATGATGGTGTATTGCAGATGGTTTAGGCCCTGGTACACTTTAAACAAAGATTTTTGCCGAGCTGGGCAAATGTATAGATGATGTATTGCAGATGACAAGTGGTCCTGGTACATCAGAGAGGGTGCATTGCAGATGATGAAGGTCCTGATACACCATATAATATGTTAAAGTTAGAAGATGCTAATTTTTTGCTTTAAAAAACACATTTTTCAGATATATTTAAAGTGGGCAGATGGACGGGAATTAATTGTGGATTACAGGATCATCGTCTAGCGGAACTTGCTTCTGAACTACCCAGATATTGTGTAACATCTAAGGCCGAAAATACAGCAAAACAGTACAGGTATGCTTTTAATACCTTTTGTAAGTGGTGTAGCAGCTTTAACCCTGGGATTCAATCACTTCCTGCTTCGGAAAACAACGTTGCACTATATATTATACATTTAGCAAAACAATGTAAATCGTCTGGCACAATACATTCAGCTATACATGCCATCAGTTGGGCACATAGCCTAGCAGGTTATATAGATCCTTGTGACTCAGCTTTGGTAAAAACTGTTAAGGAAGGGGCAGTTAGAGAGACATCAAAACCAGTGATTAAAAAAGAGCCTATAACGCCTGAACATTTGAAAACTCTGGTTTCTACATTTGGAGAGGATGGAAATTTATACAATTTAAGAACATTGTGTATGTGCTTATTAGGTTTTGCAGGATTTTTGAGATTTTCAGAAATAGTTAACATTCGTTACTCAGATATCTGTATACAGACTAATTGTGTAGAAATTAACATTGTTAAAAGTAAATCAGATGTTTATAAAACTGGTCATAAAGTTTGTATTGCTAGAACATTTTGTGATACCTGTCCTGTAAATATGTTGGAAAAGTTTTTAAAATTGTCAAATGCTGACATGCATTCTCCTCTGTTCTTGTTTAGATCTCTGTCATTTTGTAAAAAATTCCAAACTTATAAACTGAGATCGGATAATCGTCCAATTTCTTATACAAGAGCAAGAGAAATCATATTGGATTCACTTGAAAAGATTGGTTTAGACAAGTGTAAATTTGGTGTCCACAGTCTGAGATCAGGTGGCGCTACCTCCGCAGCCGCCGCAGGTGTTAGCGACAGACTGTTTAAAAAGCATGGGCGGTGGAGGTCGGAAAATTCTAAAGATGGTTATGTTAAAGAAAACCAAATTGAAAAACTTTCAGTTACTAAGAATTTGGGCATTTAGGATATTCGCTTCAGTTCTAATCTTCTTTATCTTCGAAATAATTAAACTCACTTTCAGAGCGCTTCATATCCTATTTCACGAGTTTGTGTTTATTTCATAAATGTTTTATGCTCGTTTGAGTGAAACGAATAAGAACATAAACGTATTTATTAATGTTACACAAACACGTGTTTGTGTTTGTTTATTCTTGTCATCTATTGGCTGTTAGAATGGTCACCTAGTCAGGTGACATTAATATTCATAGCACGGGCTATTACTGACCGTGAAAGAAATTCTGTATAGGGAAAGCCATTCGAAGGCTCTATTTCGTGCAGTCTTATTAGTCCCACCCACCCGCCCATTGCTTAGTTTTGAATGTTATATTAGATTTATACCTTGTTGAAAATATTTATTTTCTATTTTGTAGAATTCGGACATTGACGAGGACAAAGAGATATTATATGTATTGTGTGAAATAATTAAACTGCACTTTCAGAGCGCTTCATATCCTATTTCACGAGTTTGTGTTTATTTCATAAATGTTTTATGTTCGTTTGAGTGAAACGAATAAGAACATAAAGGTAGATATAAAATGAAAGAAGATTTGAAGGGATTTTTCTGTTCTATTTATAGCACCTGGTAATTTTCATATCTTACCTGTAACAATGGATTCCATTAGAACTTTATCAATGTGAGTTTTAATTCATATTTGTGTTTTACTTCAATATCTGAATCACTTTATCTTTATAATTCATTATTACAAAGCTAAGTGAATATCTTGTTAAAGCCTTCAAAAAGGCATAATGCCATGAGTTTACATAAATGATGTTCTAGACACATATTTATTTGTATACTGGTATACATTGATATTAAATACATGTTTTTGATCACATGTTAATTAGCAATTTGATAACCCCAACTGCTGCATCTAGATGTACAGTTACTTGTACATATTATATCAGATATATACGTGTGTGTGTGTGTGGGGGGGGGGGGAGGGTGGGTGTGTGTGTGTGTGTGTGTGAGGGTGTGTGTGTGTGTGTGTGTGTGTGTTTATGTTTGTGTTAGTAACCTTTCTTTCAGAAATTCCTTTATTGTAAAAAACCTTTATGCCTTCTGCGTCCAAAATTGGAAAATGATTTGTCATATTTATAAGGAAGCATCTTCAGATACTGTAGATTCATGTTTGTTGAGATCATGAACCCTCCCCCTTCCCCACGGGTAGGGTGTGGCCTCAATGAATGTTCAAACTTGTATGAAAAAAGTTCATTGAGTCAAAAATACTTATATTAAACACCCTTACTTAGTGTCGATTCCAACATATCCGTCCTGGCATACATGGAGAGATAGACAATTAAATGACATGCTCAACACCACTGCTGCAATAAAATAATTGAAACTCACCGACATTTTTGTTTTCAACTCCAGAGTAATTTTTAAATTCTACAGATATATATTTCCTTGAATGCATGTTCGTGAATTATTGATAGTAGAATAGTTTCAGTTTTTTTTAAATTTAAGAATTTTACAAGTCAAATTTAATATTATGGAGTTTGTGCTTTGTAGCAAGTATTTACTAAATATTTATAATTTTCTATGATTTTATCGCACAGTAGATTCATGTTTTAGAGCAGAGCTTCCACTCAAGTTTTATTCATGCCGTGTTAGATCTAGAGGTAAAGGTACTAGTATTCATCCTTTCTAAGCTATATCATTATTGCTTATCACGCCCTTCTAATTCTATATAAGAAAGTGAAGTAAATACCGTTGTAAATAAATGAAGAAAATTTAGAAATGTTTAGTATTAGGCTAAGTCGATCAGATTAGAAATTCAGCAACTATCGAACTGTAACAAAAATCTTATTTTGATTAGATTTCAGGTATAAGCGAATGTGTGTGGATATGTGGAAGGGATTGTATTTATTAATTCATTCAAGATTTGCTAAATTGTTCGTTTGGGCGGAGGCTTAAAAAAAAGTGACACACTGCATGTACAGGTACACGTCAGTAAATGTTCTGATTAATTTAAAATTCGAGGGACATTAATTTATTTTAGTTATCTAACGTAATCTTCAGAGAGTGAGACATTATATATTTTCTGTTTTTCATGCTGCAGATTTCCTTTCTTTTGATTTACCGTTTACACAGGCCTGTGTTTAAACAACTGTTCATAAATGCTGTCAATTGATATATGCTAAGAGAAAACGATACATTTTTCGGTAATTTATTTTTTATGGGGAAAAAATAGGTGAAAATATATAGATTGACACCTTAGTATTTACCTGTGTATTATGATGTTACAATCCGTGACGATGACTGGCCAGGATGACAGAAGGGCTACCCGTTAAAACAACTCATAATCAACTCAGCGGACCTACAATTAGTTCACTTTAATGTTTGTATTTCAAACGCAGATTACGCTTTACATGCGTATATTTGTGCACTCTTCCATATGCATTATACTTGTAAAACGTGCATGTTCTGTTCTTGCATTCATTTATATTTTATGTGTCCATAAAACCTTAAGCATTAATACGAGAGCTGATAAAGAAAAAATAACGGAAACCTGCTCGCATGAAATTACAAGTTTATTAGAAAATAATTAATTGTTCAAGATCAATTAGTTGCCTAATGGAATAAAGTTACGCATGTGTGTCTCAATCTACATACTTTGGAGGCGCGTGTGAATGTGGGATTTTGTATTGATGTATTTTGAAAAAAAGCTCGATATTCGTATATTTGGGGCGCCCTTGCATAGAATACATGCATATACAGTTGTACATTTTAAGGGCTTCGACAAAAGAACGTATATTAACCTACATACATGTACATTTAAGATACAAAAAATCTATCAGTGAAATTAATCAATGTAACATATTTTCGATGGTATTTGAATAAAAGAGACCATGATCTCGATGTCGAGAAATACATTAGGTATTAAAAAACAAGATGTGTTTGTGAAACACTGATGCCCCCGTATGGCAACATAGCGAAGGTGAAGCTTTCTCGAATGCAGATCAAATATGTTGGTACCAAAGTAAGGCCTTTTCACAAGAAATGCGAAATATAAAACGCTAGCTACACCTTTTTCAGGGTTATGACCAAGGTTAACATTTTATAATATAGGATAAACTCCGGGTCAAGGTCAAAGGGTCAAGGTTGTTGGGTTCTAAAGAAAGGCCTTGTCTCAAAGATTACGTATGGGAGTATGAAAGCGCTGGCCCTTACCGTTCAAAAGTTACGGCCAAGGTTAAATTTGTAAAAGTAGGTCAAACTCTAAGATCAAGGTCAAAGGGTCAAGATTCTTGATATCCAGTGAAAGCACTTGTCACAAGGATTACACATGTGAAATATGAAAGCTCTAGCCCCTTCTGTTCAAAAGTTATGGTCAAGGTTAAAGATTGTAAAAAGTAGGTCAAACTCCAAGATCAAAGTCAAAGAGTCAAGGTTCTTGATATCAAATGAAAGGTCTTGTCACAAGAATTAAATTTTTGAAGTATGAATGCCCCATTTCAAACCCTTCAAAAATTATGATCAATGTTGTAATTTAATGTAGGTCAAACTCCAAGGTCAAGGTCAAAGGGATAGGTTCTTCGGTATCAAATAAAAGGTCTTTTCATCAGAATTATATATGTGAAGTACGAATGCCCTAGTACTTAATGTTCAAAAGTTATAGCCAAGGTTAAAGTTTTTTCATAGATACGGAAATCTCCAAGGTCAAGGCCAAAAGGTCAAGTTTGTTGGTATCCAATAAAAGGTCTTTCCACAAAAAATACATATATCAAATATAAATGTCCTAGTTTCTATTTTTCAAAAGATATGGCCAAAGTAAAAGTTCAAATTTTTTGTGTTGAAGTGGGTTTAACTCCAAGGTCAAGGTCAAAAGGTCAAATTTGGTGGTACCCAAAAGAATGTCTTGTCACAAGAAATACACATGTGAAATATGAATGTCATAGCTCCACTAAATCAAAAGTTATAGGCAAGGTTAAAGTATTTGCGGACAAACATATAAACAGACAGATAGACGGACGGATTCGACAAAAACTATATAACCCCCGAAACTTCGTTTACGGGGGCATAAAAATTATAATATGCAACTTTCATGTAATTCAGCTAATAAATCATTAAATGAAATGCACTAGCGACATACTCAGTCAAATATATTATGAAATAATCTGAAAGATTCAACATATTTATCCACTCATCACTTAGTTAACTAAATTAAGTTAACCATTCTGTGGTTTTTTGTGTATGACTCTGGATCGCTGGATGGTGTGTTCCCATTTGCCTTAACTGTGAAATTCAGGTAAGAAAAAGTTAAAAAGTACTAAGGCGAAATGGGGATTTTAGTATTTGTAAATATTATTACTGGGTTAATTTTTAGATTGAATTTAACAGTTAATAGGAATTTATGAATACAGTGAATGAAATAATACATGTAATACTAAGTTTGTTTTTTTTTAAATACTTCATGCTAAATATTATAGATCTTCATCACCTTAATTCACCTGAGAGCTTACTAAGGTGAAATGGTAATGCTAAATTTTACTGTTAAGGTGAGATGGGAACAAACGAACTGGATCACACGCCGATTGATTCCAGGTGACACTCGCGCTATCAAGGGAAGCGCGTTATATAATTGTAAACTAAGGTGAATGTAAAAGTCGTGCATAGTATATGCTGTATAGTTATATTTTATTTTCTCGCTATATTCTTTGTTTTTATATGATAAGAAGAAAAGATTATCTTTTTTTCCCCTTTTAGTAGACTTGGTTTATACGATTTAAAAAAATGAAATAAAAGGGAACATTGTCAGTGAATAATCATGATAATTTGTGAAAAAAAACACAAAACACTTCAAGAACCTTATTCTAAAAGATATTAGCATCCAATGTGGCCATGTTTATTATTTATAGTAAGTTTGTTTTGGTTACACGCATGAAGAGCTCTCGTTTACGTGCAGAGTGAAAAGAATTACTTGTACATGTATGGATCATGCATCTAGCTCATTAAATTAAGAC